GAAAAGCGTAAGGGAAAAGCGCAGACAGAGAGCTCAGGAGGATCTGAGGACGAGGCCCACGATTTCCAGGCTATTTATCTGCTTTGCCCCAATGATCATTATAGTCATTATCATCATGATTATCATTATTATTATCATTACTGCAGTTATAATAATTATTATGCTAATTATTATTGCTATTTTTATCATTATAACTATTTATATAATGATAATAGCAATAATGATAATTTTAGAAATAATAATGACAATAATGATAATTATAATGGCAATTATAATGATGTTATTCTTATTTCTATTGCCATTATTAGTATGGAAATTATTGGAATAGAGTTCATTATTGCTATTATTGCAGTAATTATCAAAATTATTATTGTAATTATAACTATTGTCATTATCATCATAATTATCCTCATTATTGTCAATAATAAAGGAATTATCATGAAAATCCTCATAATTACCTGAATTGATGTTGAAATCCTCATAATAACCATTAAAAAGCGAAAAAAGTTTTTTTTCGACGTTTCACTCAAAAGGCAGAAATACGATAGATTTTGCCGGTTTTTCGACGTGGGATTTATTTCATTATAAATGGACTGAATAATGATTATCATCATTATTATCATCACTATCGTTATTTTGATTTTATTATTACTGTCATTATTTTCATGATTATTATCATTATAGTCATTATCATCATGATTATCATTATCATTACCATTAAAAAGCGAAAAGGTTTTTTTTTCGACGTTTCTCAGAAAAGGCTGTTGTAATACGCTAGATTTTGCCGCTTTTTCGACTTGTGGGATTTTCTTACTTCTGGCCTTTATTTCATTATAAATGGACTGAATAATGAATATTATCATTATTATTGTTATTGTCATTATTTTCATGATTATTATAATTATAGTCATTATCATGATTATCCTTATCATTATCATTGCAGTTGTAATAATTTTATGCTAATTATTATTTATATTTTTATCATTATACCTATTTATATAATGATAATAGCAATAATGATAATTTTAGAAATGATAATGACAATAATAATCATAATGATGTTATTCTTATTTCTATTGCCATTATTAGTATGAAAATTATTGGAATAGAGTTAATTATTGCTATTATTGCAGTAATTATCAAAGTTATCATTATAATTAAGATTTTACCATTATTATTGTCATTATCATTATCATTATCATCATAATTATCCTCATTATTGTCAATAATAAAGGAATTAACATGAAAATCATTATGATTACCTGAATTAATGTTAAAATCCTCATTACCATTAAAAAGCGGAAAGTTTTTTTTTCGACCTTTTTCTCAAAAGGGTGTTGTAATACACTAGATTTTGCAGTTTTTTCGACTTGTGGGATGATAATACTTCTGGCCTCTATTTCATTATAAATGGATAGAATAATGATTATTATCATCATTATTATCATTACTGTCATTATTTTCATGATTATTATTAGTCATTATCATCATGATTATCATTATTATCATCATTATTGCAGTTATAATAATCATTATGCTAATTATTATTATCTTTATCATTATAACTATTATATAATGATAATAGGAATAATGATAATTTTAGAAATAATAATGACTATAATAATATAATGTCAATGATAATCATGTTATTCTTATTTCTATTGCCATTATTAGTACGGAAATTATTGGAATAGAGTTAATTATTGCTATTATTGCAGTAATTATCAAAGTTATCATTATAATTAAGATTATTTTTATTATCATTGTCATTATCATCATAATTATCCACATTATTGTCAATAATATAGGAATTATCATGAAAATCATTATAACCCTTAATTAATGTTAAAATCTTCATTACCATTAAAAAGCGGAAAGGGTTTTTTTTTCGACCTTTCTCTCAAAAGACCTTTCTCTCAAAAATACGCTAGATTTTGCCGTTTTTTCGACTTGAGGGATTTTATTACTTCTGGCCTTTATTTCATCATAAATGAGCTGAGTAATGAATATTATCATTATTATCATTACTATCATAATTTTCATGATTATCATTATATTCATTATCATCATGATTTTCATTATTATTATCATTATTGCAGTTATAATTATTATGCTAATTATCATTGCTATTTTTATCATTATAACTATTTATATAATATTGATTGCAATAATGATAATTTTAGAAATAATAATGACAATAATGATAATTTTAATGACAATGATGATGTTATTCTTATTTATCTTGCCATTATCCATGTGAAAATTATTGGAATAGAGTTATTGCTATTATTGCAGTAATTATCAAAATTATCATTATAATTATGATTTTATCATTATTATTGTCATTATCATTGTCATTATCATCATAATTGTCCTCATTATTGTCAATAAGAAGGAATTAACATGAAAATCTTCATAATTACCTGAATTGATTTTAAAATCCTCATAATTACCATTAAAAAGCGAAAAGGGGTGTTTGCGACGTTATTCTCAAAAGGCTGTTGTAATACGCTAGATATTGCCGTTTTTCGACTTTTGGGATTTTATTACTTTTGGTCTTTATCTTATTATAAATGGACTGAATAATGATTATCATCATTATCATTACTGTCAATATTTTCATTATTACTATCATTATAGTCATTATCGTCATGAGTACCATTCTTATTATCATCATTATTGCAGTTATAATCATTAGTATGCTAATTATTATTGCTATTTTTATCATTATAACTATTTATATAATGATAATAGCAATAATGATAATTTTAGAAATAATGACAATAATGATAATTATAATGAAATGATAATTATGTTATTCCTATGTCTATTGCATTATACGTATGGAATAGAGGTAATTATTGCTATTATTGGAGCAAAATTATCAATATAATTATGATTTTATTATTATTTCTGTAATTATCATTGTCATGATCATCATAATTATCCTCATTCTTGTCAATAATAAAGGATTTATCATGAAAATTCACATAATTACCTGAATTAATGTTAAAATCCTAATAATTACCATTAAAAAAAAGTTCGACGTTTCTTTCATTTTGCCGGTTTTTCGACATTTCATTATAAATGGACTGAATAATGATTATCATCATTATTATCATTACTGTCATTATTTTCATGATTATTATCATTACTGTCATTATTTTCATGATTATTATCATTATTTTCATTATCATCATGATTATAATTATTTTTATTATCATTATCGCAGTCATAATAATTATTATGCTAATTATTATTGCTATTTTTATTTTTATAAATATTTGAATAATGATAATAGCATTGATAATAATTTTTTAAATAATAATGACAATAATGATAATTATATTGACAATGATAAGGATGATATTCTTATTTCTATTGCCATTATTAGTATGGAAATTATTGGAATAGTCAATTATTGCTACAATTGCAGTAATTATCAACATTATCATTATACTTATAATTATTATTGTCATTATCATCATAATTATCCTCATTATTGTCAATAATAAAGGAATTATCAAGAAAATCATAATTACCTGAATTAATGTTAAAATCCTCAAAATTACCATTAAAAAGCTAAAAAGGTTTTTTTTTTCGACGTTTCTCTGAAAAGGCTGTAATACGCTAGATTTTGCCGTTTTTTTCGACTTTTGGGATTTCATTACTTCTGGCCTTTATTTCATTATAAATGGACTGAATAATTATTATTATCATTAATATCATGTCATTATTTTCATGATTATTATCATTATAGTCATTATCATCATGATTATCATTATCATTTATCATTATTGCAGTTATAATAATCATGCTAATTATTATTGCTATTTTAATCATTATAACTATTTATATAATGATAATAGCAATAAAGATAATTTTAGAAATAATAATGGGAATAATAATTATTATAATTACAATGATAATGATGTTATTCTTATTTCTATTGCAATTATTGGTATGAAAATTATTGGAATAAAGTTGATTATTGCTATTATCGAAGTAATTATCAAAATTATCATAATAATTATGATTTTATCATTATTATTGTCATTATCATCATAATTATCCTCATTATTGTCAATAATAAAGAATTATCATGAAAATCCTAATAATTACCTGAATTAATGTTAAATGTTATCATAATTACCATTAAAAAAGGCGAAAAGGTTTTTTTCGAGCGATAAGTTTCTTTATTTCTAAATGCTTTTTGTAATACGAGGTCGGCGCGGTGGATGTAGGATCGGTGGCGCCCG